GTTCCACACTTGTAAGAAATCGCCGTCAACGTCGGAGAGAGAGCAATAATTCTAGGGCCGTAATTCACAGTTAAGCTGATAACCTGAAAAGGTTTTAAAGCCTTGCCTATAGAGAATTTTGCATACAATTATTTATTTATTTTTGTAATTTCATGGGCAATGCTCATTTTTGAGACTTTTGACATGTTTGGTGTCAATTTACTCGACACAACCCAATATTTTATATTTTACCAAATTGTGTATAAAATTGTGTTGTTTTTGCTCTAAATTTCATTTTGGTGATTTTTTTTCCTGAAAATATGCATTTGATAAATAACTGCACACTGTGTGTGACATAACAAATTGCAACTACCACTATTTGATCCTTCGGGACCTCTGCTTTCAGAAAATATATACTTTTTGGGGGGTTTACTGTATTTTCTAGAAAAAAAATTGCAGATTTTAACGTGTGCACAAAATTAGCAAAATTGCTTTGGCAGGGAAGTGGTTAAGCTTTGGAAGCTGGTTGCCATGCAGAGCTGCTCCAGATTCTGTCTCTTCCAGTTTTAGTCAATTCCCCACATTGTTTCTTTTGTATATGTAGCATTTTATGTATGTACTGTACATGGGAGAACATTTGGAAACTTTAGTGTGCAGGCTCCACCTCCTACGTAGCACTGTACAGTATTGATGTCATCCTGTTCCAAGCTGTCATTACTACTAAACAGTGTGTGTGAGTGACACTTATGTACCATGCAGGGAACTGGGGTTCCTGGCTTTATGCCCTGCCCACCTCTGCTGTACCCTCTTTGTTTACCCTGGGCTCATTAGGCAGAACCTAAGTGTTGCTAAACCCAAAAAGGTAAAATCAGTGTGTGCGTGCGCAAAAAGGCTGATTGATCCTGTCTTCTCTGATCCTCCCCTTCCCCCTCTTATCTCCTGATGAGACATATTGTGTGGAGACACTCTGCACATGCTCATTTTGCTGTATATTGCTAGAGAGGTGTGTTTTTTTTTGTTTTTTGTTTTGTTTTGTTTTGTTTTGTTTTTTTTCTTTCTTGAGAGAGTGCATGTGGGGGAAGAGTGCATGTGGGCCAATCGGCACTGTCCAACCAGAGGTCAGGGGTCCTGCATCCTCCTAGGGTAGAAAGATAATTCCTACAAGCTTTAATCAGTGCTCTGCTGAACACTGATAGAAGTCACAAGACTGCTCTAACTGCTGAAAAGTTATTTAGCAGTTTATATTTACTAAAATACTTGTATTTCCGTGTTCTGTGTACTATGGAAGACAAGATATAGTGAATGGAGGGTCCTGGGTTTAGTAACACTTTAACTTCACACCACTTCTTTCTGGGAGCAATTGTGCAGCAGATCATTCTTCCCCTACAGTAGCGGACATAAGAAAAGACAGACAGTGAGAGGACCTGTGAGTAAAATGTAAACACTGAAGTTCAGTGTGGGCAATCTTTATTTCAAGCGGACTAGATATTAGATACTTTAGAATGTATATTGGTGGATGATGTGGAAACTACGGGATCAGCTGTCTCCACCCCCTTTCTTGGCTGCCCCTCTGTCATTGACCAGCAGCTAACTGTCCTCTACTTCATTGCCAAAGTTTCTTGTATTTTTTTTTTTTTTCTCCTTAAGGGGGGAGAGGATCTTGTCATACATCCACCTCTTCCCCCATTCACAGTTTAAAGTATCATTCTTGCAGCTTGTAGAAAGATAAATGTGAAAAAATGGCCATATAGACATGCAGATACCATTTGAAGCACTAGTTAAATGTGTATAAAAAAAAGTATTAGTCAGTGTAGAGATTTTCCAAATGTTGCAAGCCGTTCTTTTTTTAACATTCCATCCCATGTAAACTCCCTATAGGAAACGGGCATGGTTTCCATCACTTCAGTGTTTTGTTAAGACATGGCAGGAATATAATGCAAAGCTCAAAACATTACCCTGTATGTGGACTGCTGCCGATTTCACCTCTTAAAATAGCTAAAGATTTCTTTCATGACACAGTGTGGGTTTAATAACCCAAGAATAATTTGGATCATGATTTTTTTTTTTATTGTGCTATCTAAGCAACATTGTGAAATGTAGCTAGAATGTTTAACATCCATATGTTTGTTCTAAACTTTGCGGATAGTTGTGCAGATGGTGTGTCACACTGGCAGTTTAGGTTTCAGACTAAATAGTTTACATTTTTAGCTGATTTCTGCATTTCCACTTTACATTTAGCGTTGCCTTGAAATTGTGTAAAAGGTTCATTCCATCCAGAATTACAAATTTAAAGTGTATCTCTTGCCAAAAGAAGCCTTTTTTTGGATAATATAGGAAAGATTTGGACCCACTGTCAGTTTTTATTGCTGTATTTGTCCCCATTGGGGAGATGGACCTCTCTTTGTACTGGAGACTGTTGTCATTGAAAAAGTGAGGGGGAATCCAAAATTGTAAAGTTGTACCTGGAAAAAGTGGTGAAGGTGAATATGGGAACTCCTGTTCCAGGGAAAATTTGTCTTAAAAGGGGAATTTTCTCTCACTCAGACACACTGGGTGTGATCATTTCTTAATGGTACCCTCAAGCATCTGCAAACATACTGTCACCAGCCACTTGATTAGATACAACGCATTTTGCCTTGTCATATGGAGGGACTGCGCAGGAATAACCACTCCAGCGCAGTCCCTGCATCTGGTGTGAACTCACTCTCAGGGAATTTGCAAGAGCATCTGTTTACTGTATAGTTACCAGTGAGAATGCAAACTTTCTAAGTTTGAACTAAAACAAAAGAATTGAAAGATTGTACACCTAATTCAGATATCGATGTATGTACCAGCTTGTTGGCAATTTCTGTAAGCAGCCTGCAGTAGTACTGTCTTGAGAAAAGACTGATACTGGTCTGAAATGTTGTATAATGCAGAAAATTGTATTTTATTCTATTCTGACATAAAAAAGCTGCATTAGTGCTATGTTTTTTGTACAGGCTTTTTTCCTTTTTATTTTCACTGTGGTAGTCCTGGAAACAACATGCTTCGTGTCCCTGGGTGGTTACATTTGCTGCTCTACTGCTTGTCAGGAGCCATGTTTGCCATCCAGCAATAAACCATGTATTTGGTGTGGCGCCACAAAAAAAAAGAAAAGTTTGTGCGCTTCTTTTGTGTGATTTTCATGTGTAGGATAGCCCATTGAAATGAATAGGCTACCCTAACTGTGGCACAAAAAATTTCACATGCACTATTCCACCTGCATAGGTGTAAACGGAGTCTCATGCACCTAAATATATAATTTAACAACAAATAAACAGCAGTTAAAAAAACACCTTATATTTACCTTTTCACAATGTTTTTTAAAAGGACATTCTTCCCCACACTTTCTAAGTGAATGCCACATATTCTTACCTTCAGTCAAATCTTCGCTATGTGGCTCTGCCTGGTGTCTATCAGCCTTGCACAGAAAATTCCTGGCAGTATCCAGCACCTACTGCACATGCGTATTCGTACTCCTCCAGATGGCTGGTCTGTACATAACAGGCACCACCATAGGAATGAATTGTATCAGTGGCTCACGGTTTTAAAGGGTTTGAAAGATTTACAGGAGAACTCCTTAACCACTTCCTGTTCGGACACTTTTACCCCCTTCCTGTCCAGGGCAATTTTCAGCTTTCAGCGCTATCACACTTTGAATGACAATTGCGCGGTCATGCAACACTATAACCATATGAATGTTTTACCATTTTTTTGGGACACATAAAGCTTTATTTTGGTGGTATTTATTCACTACTGGGATTTTTATTTTTTTTTGCTATGTAAATGAAAATGTCCAAAAATTTTGAAAAGTGTTTTTCTTATAACATTTTGCAATATTTCATCATAAATCTTGGCCAAAATGTATTCCGTTTTTATCTTTTTAGTACAAAAAAAAAAAAATAAGCCAAATTAGTTTGTAACCAAAAATTATAATTTTTAAACATTTTTTTTTTTTACATTTTTATTTTATTTTTTATATATATATATATTTTTTTTTCATACAGTCACCCTAGCAGTACAGTGTCACCATGGTGACACTGTACTACTTGTGGGGGACGAGGAAGAAGATTTTTTTTTTTTTTTACACTGATTGCTTTTACACCCATAAAGGATGTAAAAGCAATCATATCTCCTTCTCTCTAGCTGCATTCTTCCAGCCATTGAGAACTACTGAGTGAGCTGTGATTGGTCACAGCTTGTCACATGGTACAAGGCTGTTGTGAATAGCCTTGTACCATGTGACCTCTGTGATCATTCACAGATTTCACACGTAGTAAGCAATGATGTCACAAGTGACATCTTGCTTACTACTTTGCATGTGATCACTGATTGGCCAGTCAGTGATCACATGATCGGGACCTCATACAGAGGTCCCGTCTGACGATCAGTGTTTCACTGTGTCCTGAGGACACAGCAGGCACCGGATCGCCACCCGACCCTGCACTGCCACCGTCTGGCCATTTATATACAACGGCCGGACGGGAAGTGGTTTAAAAAAAAAAAAAAAAAATGGTAGGGTTTGCACATGAACTTTTCTTATTTGTCTGCTTTTGTTCTGTTAAATATACCATTAAAAGCTGTTTTACCATATACCTGTACGATAAGGTAAAAAAAAATGCTTGTTAATCCTGCCAGAACTCTTGTGTGCCCAGTTCTTTTTGTGGCCTAGAGAACCCCTTCCTATTTTCTGGAAATGGAGAGAAATGTGTTCTGGTCCTGTCTTTCAGTGACAACACTTCTTTCAGTACAGTACAATGAGTGCATGCTGTCACCCTAATAACAAGAAGTGTGTTACTGTCAGTATCTTCAGGAAAAAAAAAGGCTGCCCTAGAAAACCAATGCAGCTCTCCCTCCTAATGAGACTTGTAAGCTGCAATATATGAAATTCCCATTCTTGAGTATAGATGTACTTTTGACATCCTGACTTTTTTAATTCTGTTTAGTACTTCTCTGTGTTTGTGTTGTTTTTCTTATATCTTTGTGTTTGTTCTTTTTAGACCGATTCCAGTCAGAACACAGGGGAACATTTGCAAGAGCAAAAGTAAGTGGTCTTGTTTTTTTTTTTTTGTTTTTTTTGTTTTTTTTTTTGTTTTGACCAAATAATGCATTAAAATGTGCTAAATCTGTCTTCTAGTCTGAATACATGGTTGTGTACATTTCAGGAACCAAACATCCAGTACTCCCAACCTTAACTCCAACTTATTTCAGAACATCCATGGAGCCCCAAAACCTTGGGTGTTCCTTTTGTTTCCAGAGCTTTGATGTTCATTCTCTGGCTCACCCTCTTAGTCTCCAGGATACATTAATAATTATAGTTCATCGGATGTTACCATCAGAATAATAGGTGGATGGTTGATTCCTGGTGGATTCAGTCGTTTTGTGGACTGAATTCGTGTTTACTGAGAAAAATATCCTTTTGGGTACACTTTATTATCCAAATCCAGGTCCAATAATCTATATTATGTAGCTCACCCATATTAGTTGGAAGTTTACTTTGTGAATTTTCTACATGTATTATTTCAGATTTATGTGGTACACAACAGCCTCAGTTTTCCTGTGCAGCTTTATACGATTGAAGAGTTGCCATCTAACAGTTACCATTTTTCTCATGAGCTATGGGAAAAACACAAAGTTCAGTAAATAAAAAACTTGCCTACGCCTACAGTTTTTTAGGTTTCCAAAAAGTTGACATTTTAAATCAGGTTTCAGCCTTCTATAAGTTTACAGATTTCCTTGCAATACATAAATTGCTGTGTGCTCCGGACTGTGCTAGCTATTGCAAAGTATGTGATCTATTTCAAAATTAAAGTAGAACTATAGGCACATATTTTTTTTTTTTTGCTGTCTGTGTCCCATTGAGGAAATATTCACCTTCACTTCCCGTCCCATAGCCAAAACAGGAAGTGAGAGGAATTTCCTACAAATTAAAGGAATCCCTTGGGCCCCCAAGGTTGCCAGGAGCAGTGTCCCCATTTGAAGATTTCCCCTCTTACTTTTCTTGGGACAACCCAAAATTTGGGTCTTTCACTTTCATAATGGTAAAGAAGACAAATAGGGTGAATCTCCCTAAGGGGGGCACAGACAGCAATAAAAACCTGACAGGTGTTCTAATCCATCTCCACTCTATAGAAAACTGAAAAAAAAAAAAAGATCTTGCCTTTAGTATACTTTGTTTGCAATTGAAATTCCAAAGCATTCAGTCTCGTTAGCCAGCAGAGTGTAGCTGATTTGAAATGAGATAATTACATTTTAATTGAAACAGTTCTGTGTTGCATTCATTTTCAAATGTATGTCATCCTGTAATCTGTGAGAGTAGCAGAATAGAGCAGTATAAGTAGTGATCAGTATCTCGAGAACCATCTGTATTCCTGTTTTGGTTCTCTCGTAGATTAGAATAGGACGACACTTTAAAGAGGTGCCACACATATTTGCAAATGTTTGTAAATGAGACCTCCTGTGTTTATGAAGTTATTCTAAAAATGTTTTATTTGAATATCTGGTTAGGTAAATGAACTTGGCCTGTATTCAATGTGTCAGTTGTCCGTCCCACATGTACCTTCCTTTGCTAGATGTAGAGCAGCCTAAGCTCAGCATTGGTAGTTAGTAGCACTGGTGCGAATTTAGGTTTTGCAGTCCTTTTACACTTCCTTGCAAAACACTCCTATTTTATTTTTATTTAATTGAACTTTTTTTTTTTTTTTTGTAATCTTGTGTAATTAAAAATACAATTGGTTGTGTCGGCTTACCATCACTGATTACTCATAAACCCGCAGGTGTTCAATGTTACTAAAGTGAAATTATAGCTATTTGGTTCAGACCAGTTGGATGTATTGTATAACTAATATTATTATTATTATTATTATTATTATTATTATTATACTCCTAGATTGTAAGCTCTAAGGAGCAGGGCCCTCGAACCCCTTGTGTATTGTATTGTTACTGTGCTGTCTCGTGTACTGCCTCCCATTATAATATACAGCGCTGAGCAAACTGTTGGCGCTAAATAAATACTGTATAATAATGATTTATATAGCGCCAACAGTTTGCTCAGTGCTTTACAATATAACAGGAGACAATACAGCAACAATACAGTTCAATACAAGAGGTTTAGGAGGGCCCTGCTCCTTGGAGCTTACAATCTATTAGATTATGTTCTGCAATATGAATCGATGGAAACTATGATTATTTACTTATTTGCTTTGTTTATATAACATAACATGTGAAGCTGCTCTGCTTTGGCTCTCGGGCTGAATTTGCTGCAGTCTGTGTGCCATTAAGTGAATCATCTCATAAATCTGGCACCCTGTCTGTTATGTAACAGCAGTCTCAGTGTGTTTACATAACGTGTTTCTGATTACTCTTACAGCATTGAGTGCAGCTGTTTGTCCTAAATATGAATGGTCTGTGGTTCTGCACCTGTAACTGCGAAGTGTGTGCATAAGATGGGATTTTGCCGAAAACTTAAAATGTTGATTTAGGAGCCATAACTGTTGCACATTTGCTTCAGCCTGAAACTTATTTGATTTCCTAAAGAGAAATACTGTACTGTCGATCCGAAGAAGCCTTAAAGTTAAATACCAGGCAAGCAGCTAAACACTTAGATGAGCTCTCTGTAGCCAAAGGATTTGTATTTCTGTCCCGAAATGTATACAGTGCATCTTGCAGTTAAGGATTGCAGCAGAGGGGCCACAGCATGCTTGTACAGGATGAAAAGGACTCAGCTGGGAAACGTTCTGAAGCAATGATGTACTGTTCTGAGTAGGGCTGCACAGTGAAGATCGCTAGATTAAGGATGAAGGTAAATATTTCTCCAGGTGGGCAGCACTTGTGGGGACATGCCTTACTGGGCAATGTTCACCAAATATGCAGTTGTCCTTTTAAGCAAACCTGTTACCCTATGGTAAGGAAATGTACTGCCTAAGAGTTGACAAGCATTACAGGATGTCTGCCAATTTTTTTTTTTTTTTTAGAAGTCATAAAACACCCGGCTGTGTTCCTAATTTAGGGCTTGTGCAAAATTTGTACCTGAATGTTTTTTTTTTTTTTTTTTTTTTTTCAAGCTTGATCTTGCTTTTGGAGGAGGTCAGAAATGCACCCAAATCTCAGAATTATCCCAAACAGATTTAAAAATGAAATGGCATTCACCTGTAGGCAAGCTGTAGGCCCCGCTTCATAGTGCACATGCATGCTGCAGTCCCATTCTTTCTTTTTGGACAGCCATACGTTGCAGGAACACTGGAGGTTCCATGAATATGGTTATTCCATAGGAATGAATGGGGCTGCTGTGTATATGCCCAGTATCAGAATTTTCCAGCTGCAGGTTATTTTGAAAGACTTGTGGGGCCAGGCAGGGTTGCACAGTGGCATTTCTATTTTTGCGGACTGCACTCAAGGGGCAGGGTTAGGGGGAATTAAAACACAACTTAATCAGATATAGTTTTCCTTTAAATTTAATTTTGTTACTGGGGCTGATTTTCATGACTACAGCAAAAGTGCACTCAATTAACATTTCCCTGCCTAGGGAGAATGCTCATGTTTGACCCTAAAAGAATTCAGATTGGATGGTGGATTTCAGTTAGTTTGGGTCCAGGTTTGAAGCCAGGCACCTAGCAACAGTGTCACACAAAGCAGAATTCTTAATAGGCATTCTAATAGTAGTTTTACTAGATAGGACTTTAATTTAAAATGACTTTCACTTTCAGCACACTAAACGTTTGGAGGTAGTGATCTCTTGCAACTTAAATGGCAAACAACATAATTTGTGTGCTGATACACCATGTGGTTGGAAACCTATGTACAGTTTACCATGTACCATACTGTTTTGAGCCTGTTCATGGAGGTCAAAGTACTCTGAAATCGCAGTACACAATAGGGAGTGACACTGTTTAAGAAGTAAACATGTAAAGTTGCTGTGATGTGCCAAAAGAAATCTAGCAGCAAATTTGACCCATTGACTCTAACCCGCACCTGCCATGGTACTTAGCCGTTAATTGAAATCACATTTTCCCTACCTTGTTACTATTATTATTATTATACAGGATTTAAATAGCGCCAACAGTTTGAGCAGCACTTTACAAAATGAAGGTAGGCATTACAGTTACAATACAATTTGGTACAAGAGGAAACAGAGGGCCCTGCTCGTTAGAGCTTACAATGTAGGAGAAAGGGTTGAGTGATATAAAAGGGAATAGCTGTGGAGGGATGAGCTGATGGAGGAAATAAATGGCAGTTTACTAGGTGGAAACAGGATAGGCTTTTTTAAAGCGGCTTTCAGGGATTGTCTAAAGGTGGATAGATTAGGAGATAGCCGAACAGATTGGGGCAGGGAGTTCCATAGGATGGGGAAGTCCTGGAGGCGAGCATGGGAGGAGGTGACGTGGGAACTAGAGAGCAGGTGGTCTTGGGAGGATCGTAGAGAGCAGTTTGATTGATATTTTGAGACCAGGTTGGTGATGTAGCTGGGGGCAGAGTTGTGAATGGCTTTGTAAGTTGTTAGTATTTTGAATTTTATTCGTTGGGCGAGTGGAAGCCAGTGGAGCAATTGGCAGAGAGGGGTAACAGCCACTGAACGGTTGGTAAGGTGAATGAGCCTGGCAGCAGTATTCATGATAGACTGGAGGGGGGATAGCCTATGTAAAGGTAAGCCAATGAGGAGGGAGTTGCAGTAGTCAAGGTGAGTGATAACCAGGGAGTGCATTAGGAGCTTTGCGATATGATTGGTTAAAAAGGCACGTATTCTGGAGATATTGCGGAGGTTGAGGCGGCATGATTTGGACGGGGATTGGATGTGGGCCTGAAAGGATAGTTCAGAACCCTGGCATGCAGGGATGGGTTGATAGTGGTGCTATTAATCCTGACTGAGAAATCATGGGAAGAGGCTTGTGGGGGAGGAAATATGATGAGCTCAGTTTTGGATAGATTGAGTTTTAGGAAGTGGTGACATCCACTCTAAAAAAAAAAAATGTCAGTTACTAAATAGGTGATACATGAGGAAACTGATGGGGTGAGCTGAGGAGTAGAGAGATAGCTTACCATGGTTTC